GACCAATTAAATAGTTGGCCATCAACACTTACAGGTGGCGTTGGCTTGTTTATATCTCTACGAAGGATGCCAAATTTGAACTTTCAATTTATCATATCTTTGTAAATACTTTTTTTTTCATTTGATATTTACTTTAATTAGAGATTCCACATTCGCAAAATTGTAGTTCGCAAGAGTTTTCATGATTCCTCAAATGACGATCCACGGCTTTAAGTCCATTGAATATTAAATATAAGAACAAGTAAATTGTACATCAACCCACGGTCTCTCATAGTATCTCCCCGTTTTGCCTTTCAGTATAGTTTTTGACGATACATAACCTTGACTAAGGCAGAAAAAGCTATCACATAATCTTATATTTAGGTTTGCTTGTGATTTCTGCGTATTGTGTCTTGTCCGTAGATTTGTTTGGTGTAATTATGTGTGGAGCAGCCCCCCCCCCCCCCGCACTTACTATTAAGCAAGCGAAAACTATTGATGTACACACACAGTGTTATAAAAAGTAAATCCGTGGAAACCATCATATCTTTTATCTGATAGCATGTGAAATTATTGATTAATAAATAAAAATGCGTTACGTTTATAGTAAAATGAAAAAGATAAATACTAAGATATATAATTGATCAATAGAGAGTTGTGTAACTTTTGTGAAATAACCCTACATTGAAAGCTGATCTATTGAAAGATCAGTAAAGATAAAAGCCATGCCTTCAGCGATAATTTTCATACTCAATCAAAATTTTTTTTAAAAGAAATAGATTACATAATGATTAAACTTTGGCTAATCAATCATTTTCATCAAACTGGTCTGGACTGAAAAGGTACATGCATATTAGCTATTATAATTGCGTATCTTTACACCTTCTTGAACAAGTATGCCATTTTATACGCCCATGGTTTGTTAAATCGTGTTTTTTTTATGATGCTTAGAATCGTTCATCCGTGCACAGGACGATATTTAGCGAAAATAATATACTTAGCTTTTGACTAAGCGTATACTTCTTTTTTTGAAGTTACATTGTTTGAAGTTCTGGGCTCGAGCCATTTGAGAGAATAAAGATCCATAATTGGGTTTTCTAAAACAAATAAGCTTATCCCGACTACTGTGCGACGCTCTAAAGAAGAAGAAGAAGAAGAAAAGGAAGAAATTCTAGTGAGTTGATTATGGGCCTGGCATGTAGTAAATAATTGTCTAATAAATGATTTATAAAACATTTGAGGCCAAACGAAAGATTTGCATTACGCAGATTTCGCTCTTGAATAATGCATCTGTAATGAACAATAAATATTGACAAGAAACATTTAACAGTCCGCTTTCTAAAGAAATGAATACTGTGTATATATTATGTGTAGAGAAAACTAAAAATGGCTAGATTTTATTATAATCTTTATATTTGCACTTTAAGCAACAAACTTATTTATCTACATAATGTATCTATGTTTACTTTATAAAGATGCTTTTATTCATAGTAAACGGGGTTTCTATTCAACCTGAAAAAAGTTTGAAAAGAGAGCTTAAAAAGGTCTATATATGTATTATCCTCCGTGCAGTGTTGGTTTTAACTATGCATTTATTTTTATATACAGAATGCGTGGGGATATCAGTTCATGGTGCCCCTCTCCATCTAACTTTAAGCGATTTCATTATGATCGTGAGTTACTAACGGCGCTATATGTCTATATTATGTTGTTTACTCTTTATTTATGACAGTTTATATCGTCTTAACCTAGACAGTGTCATTAATTGTAAGTAACATTAGCGATAATTTCTATGTTAAGGATATCTATCATGTCAAAACTTAATTGCATATAAAGCACCCAACTTCATAGATACGTTTTCCAGTTAGGTACATTTAGTAAGGAAGTCATAGCCTTTTCTGAGAATAAACCTACTAAATCGGTGGTAGTTCTATGGTTGTGAAAGAGCTCATAGGGGATTTCCAAGAGAAGTTATGATAACGGCAGTGTCATTATGACAGATGATGAAGACCAGATGTATACATTTGCATGGCATGATATAAGTCCCTTAGAAGTCCGAATACCAATAGTAAGTGCAGGGTGACTGCACCACACATAATTTACACAAAAACATATACGGACAAGACATAATACGAAGCTAGTATTGCACATCATATGTTACGTGTTAGTCTCAATATGACCTAAGTATATTTTTTACCAGACACTTTTCCTTAAAATAATTAGACATAAGTGTGATCGCAGTAAAGGGAGTTGCTAAAGAATTATTATGTACATCTAGTCTCATTATACGCACTCATTATCTGTTTTTTTTATATTCAGAGTTTGATATAACTGATATATCATTTGTAGATCTTCCTCGAGGCAAATAAAAAGCTTTATATGAAAAGAATCATGATAAATCAGATGATATTATCTCGTATGAAGATGGGTGTGTGCAGACAAAGAGCACTTACCAAAGACAACATCCACCGCAAAGGTAAGCACAGTGTCAGGTTTTCTGGAAAGTGTAATCAAACCCCGCCTTGTGCACGACAGGCGTTAAAGGGCTAATCCCGATATTTTTTTGGGAATAAAACTGATAAAACTGCTTAATTTTGTGTTAAAATCCCTTAAAATCCTCTAGCTGAGGGCCGAGCAACTAACTCAATATTTGTGATAAGTTTTCAAACCACTTAAACCCGCCAGTCTTCGTCTGGAAATGGAGACCTGTGTCCCAAGCTGTATTATGCGGTGTCTGGATAAAAATTACGTGTAGTTGAAATTTACCTTTCGTTATCAAGTACAGCACATGGGTCATTCACTACATAGACCTCTCAAGGAACGGGAATCGATTATCAGGTCACCCAACGAAAAAACTGACCCGAAATCTTAAAAGGGTTACGTGTCCGGATAAGCAATTTTGGCATTCACGTCCAAACGACTCAATATTTTGAGCTGGAATTTTGAGAGAAGGTAAATATCCCATTCCTCTATATTTTGGCGCTTTAATTTCATACGTACTCCGACTTTTATTTTTGAGACTCTCTTGAAATCGGGATAGTCCCTTTAAGGCGGTAACAATAACGAAATACAGTTTGTAATGCATAATAACATAGTTGTTTGTAGAATACAAAGATTATCACTTATATTCGGGCATACATGTACTATCGACAATTTTACAGAAGGGGTAAGTAAGCCTCGCCTTGTGAACGACATAAGTTATGGCGACAACAATGGCGAAATGCAATTTATAATGCATAGTAACATAGTTATCTGCAGGGACCAACACTTTATACCAGGACAGACGATAAAGTATTTTATGGAAAGAGTACTTAAACCTCGCCTTGTGCACGACATACGTTATGGTGACAACAGTGGCGAAATGCAATAGTAACATAGTTGCGTGTAGACTGTTTAGACCACCACTTCATAGAAAGTATATTCTGAATCCAAATTAATGTTGAAGAATGTCTGTATGGTAGCCAAGATTTAAGAATAATAATAGAATTATTATCTGCTTGTACTTGTGACGTTAATTTATATAAACAATCAGAAAATGTGTTTAGAATTATAATTGAGATGTTGTGTAGTTGAATCCGTTGATTTAAATTGCCTTGGTAGAAACCCACTTGAACTCCAAACCAACTTCATAAATCAGAAAATGTATTTCAAATCTATTTTGCATCTTTCGGGTATTAGCCTCTCGACAATAATATCATTGGCTCGAATCTCGCAAGTGGGATTGAAAATAAACAATATGGCCAAATTACCTTTACTAACTTTGCACACGCATTAGTATATATATACTAATAGTAATGGAGTATTGCGTTAACTTCCATTCCCTTCCATTCTCAAATGATGGGGGGGCGAAAAAGGTATGTCATTGAGTCAACTAGTGTGCGTTCGATTCCCGGGTTGTACGTGACAAGGAGTAAGGTCACCTGTCTAACCTCGTGGGTTTTCTCCGGGTCCCCCCAGTTTCCTCCCACTACTACAGACCCCCACGCGGAAGCGAATTATTGAAATAAAATGGAACCATATGTTAGTCCCGAAATGACTTAGTTTGTGTCGAGTGGACGTTAAACCCCATTTCCCCCTCTCTCTCTCTCCAAATAATGGATAGACCCATCCCTTTAAGCAAACTTTCGAGTTAACAAGCACCTAAAGATCGACTTCGATAAAAATGATTTTGTTTTGCGTCAAGGATGTAAATGGACGACTGCACAATTTTTTTGTCAAACTAACTACTGTTGCTGGGGCGTGGTGTAATGAAATGAAATGGGATTTAACGTCCTATTTTTCTGCACCGAATGCGCCATGCAGGGTGCATGCGGGAAATTTTACCCAGACTTTGGACGGCCTACTATTATATCGAATTTCAACTGTCAAGGGTTCTTTTACGTGCATGCCAGCCGAACGACTAAACAGCTGTCCCTGTACAGCTGACAAGGGGAAACCAAACCGTAAAATCACGAGGAACATTCTCGACAAACATCGTGAGCCAAGCCGAGACTTCCAGGCTAGAGAGACAGGGTGTGTGTACTCCAACTTATAACATTCACCGGGTTTCAAGTCTGCGGCATCCTGATCTTTACCATATTCAAAATTCAAGCGTATGATTTAGGGGTATCTCCATGAAATAACAGAATGGCCCCGCAGGTTTAACTTAGTGCGGCGCAGATGAGTATAGATAGGCCATCACGCACGAGACATATATAAGGGTTCTTTCTAGGAGATCAAATTTTATTCATTTGGGAAGGTCACAAATAGCTTTCATAGTTTTTATACCTTTTCTTTATCAATATCATTAAATGAAACGTAATTGAATGGGAGGGGGGGGGGGCTAACGTTTTACGTTTCTACACCAACTGGTCTAATGAGGGCATACTACATGCATTTACAGTCTAACTGGTTTAATGAATATAGATTGATAATCTCGGAAGGAAAATGCTGATTATATCGATGATATAGTCCAACTAGCATAAAGATCTAACGATAATGTTGCTCAATATATCACAATACGTTTTAACAAAATCACTTACCTTACTAATGTTTATATATATTCCAAAATGTTCTCTCTTACTTATTATAACACTTACATATACTGCAACTTTAATATACAATTCCCTCAGTAGAATATGATATAATTGAATAAGTTGAAGAAGTTACGGTAAACATAGACACGTACGTATATAATAGATCTCGTCCGCCTTCTATAGAGATACACACGCTATATCAACAAACAGGCAATACGTATACCAAGTCACCCAGATATTATACACTCAATTCAATTAAAATCGCCATCCCTTTCCCAAACACACAGTGTCGTATCGTGTTCGGTTTTATCGATAATATGGTTGGACTGTGGTTGAATCACGCTGTGGTTGTCTCTAATTTAACACAAAACAAAAATGTATTCCAAAACGAAACAAGCAATGTTGCTTTATGTAGTCAGTTTCTTCTATACGGTGTCTTTGATTAGCCGAGATGCGCCGAATGCCGAAAGGTAGATACAAAGGCGAATCAAAATATAGAACTATTGGAAGTTTCACGACGGAACAAAGTGAATACGTAGAGTAGTGTTATGTAATAACCCGTATGTATAAATATCGGTACTATTTTAAAGCTATGTGTTTTATTTATTTTCTAAAAAACAACGGGATATCATTATTTATTCTTAATCCAGTGCAAGCAATAGATAGAAGAGTTTTGTCCAGCTGATGTTACACACTATATAGGGAATAGAGATTAATCTAACTGAAACATTTCCGGAACATAGACTCTCTTTAAGGTAACAGAAAAACGTATGACGATTATCAATTGCTTATGAGGAAACGAACAAATAAATGATGATGAAATGAATAAACTAACAATAAAACGTGTGTATTACGAATAATAATACACGACTAGAGCATAAAGAAAATACGCATCCACTTCTGTGAGATAAAACACATTCACTTCATTTCGTAGGGAAAAGTCCAATAGTTCCATTTTTGAATCATATCCGGTGCATCCCAATCAGGAAATCGATTTCCTAACATCTTTTCGGCAGTCGGCGGTTTTCGGCGAATTAAAGACACCGTCTTCTATAGGTTGAAAAGGATTATAAATGTGTCGACTGTACATTGCAATAAGACAACCGTCTCTATCTAGCTCTTCACTAACTATAAAACTAGTTGTCATATCATTAAACACACTCTTCTCGGGTCAAAAGCATGATTGATGTATATTTAGTATATATGTAATTATCAACTTGATGAATTATAGTACATTTATATTGTGTATACTTTACTTAGATAGAACGTGTCACATCTGTTATAAAAATAGACTATTGTTTCTTTCACAAGGACATGACTTACACTTTATCTCGTATTTAAAAGGGTAATTACGTGTATTTTTAAGTTGGCTGAGAAAGTTGTCCTTGTCAGTGGTGCAGAACGGGCGGTCTGGCAAGGAACAGCGCAGAGTCGTTTGGATGGGACGAAAAACCTAGGTCCCATGTACACGTTGGCATGCACGTAAAAGAACTATTGACAGCTGGAATTCGAAATAATAATAGGCCGCTCGAAGTCCGGGTAAAATCCCCCCCCCCCCATAGCACCCTGCATGGCGTATTGCCGTCTCCACTGGCGCATTCGGTGCAGAGAAATAGGACGTTAAACCCCATTTCATTTCTTTACACCACGCCCCAGCAACAGTAGTTAGTTTTGACAGAAACAAATTGTGCAGTCGTCCATTTCACATCCTTGACGCAAAACAAAATCATTTTTATCGACGTCGATTTTTAGGTGCTTGTGAACTCGAAAGGGAGTGTAGGCCGCTCTCCGGGCCATATTTCCCTGATATCACACTGCATGGCGTATCCCCGTCTTCTTTAGTCCGGATGAAGTAGAAAAGTAGGACGTTAAACCCCATTTCATTTCATGAATCTTCAAAACATACCTAATTTCAGTCTTTTTTGGGGGGAAAACACCTTTTCACATTTGTTTTTAAAAGCATCCAGTCATGCCGCATTATACTGTTGCTAGATCAGCGATTATTCTGCTCAGTGGGTGTAGCAAGATCTGAATAGGAACACATATACAGTATATTCTAATACTAAACATGCCGACTCGCTTTAGTAAGTTTTCTAATTTAGTCGACATTAAAGGGACACTCAAAGATGGGTAATTTGTTTTTTTAGTTATTTACCACCCAATCATGCATGGTAAAATGAGATTGTGTGCAAAATTTAAAACAATTCTGCCAATCCATTACTGAGATATGGATATACAATTAATATTCAAAGAGTTCAGACATCGTTTCCCTAAACTATTAATGGAGGCCACGGATAAGACTAATGTTTCTAACATTGCTATACAGAATCGTAATATAATATTTTTACTGTATTAATTAGGGTAGGATTCCTTTCTAATTCAGAATTCTGGAGGGAGTAACGTAGCGATAAATTGCACCTAAAACTTTGTTTCGTATAGAAAACGACAAATTGGGATTCCAACACGCCTACTGTAGCCAACAGCACGCAATTTTCATAAACATGCGTCATCTTCGATGCGTAAATAAAACATGAATCCTGAAACATTAAAAAAGGGGAAATAACTCAACGAATTGCTGTCGAAATATACGAGTTCAGTGTCAATTCCATGGCATATCTGGACCTTTATGAGTCCCCTATTATTTCACATTTGGTAGAGTCTAAACTATATTTCAGCAAAGAGACCATTAACATGCCACAATTGTATGATCTAAATCCTAAAGGAGAATTTTTTTCTGGAAATTTTATAATAGAAATGTAATTTTTCACAGAGATCTTTCCAAATGGACCCCTGATTACCTCTGATCCTTTCGCCTCAAAATTATTAAATTCATTAAATGCTGACAGAAAATGATCGAATCTGGGCCAGAAAATAAAGAGAGATGGGCATTTAAAAAATGAAATGAAATGTGAAATGATTTATCTATATTAGTGGTCTGACTCCATTTTAATTTCCATAGTTACAGTTCAACTAGGTTTCACACAATTCTGTCGGTTTACAACTTTCTTGTGTAATATATCCAACAAACCCGAAGTCAATTAAAGTGTGGGTTTATATTTAAGACCAAACGAAATATCACAGTATAATCTCGGGAGGCAACTCATCTTCAATTATCACAACATCAGAATTGCCAAGAAGAACAATCGTTGTAACTTCTGTGAGAGAATTTGTAGCGTGTTTACAAGATATTTTAGACGGATGTATGGACAATATACTCCCACGTTAAATTAGGGATTTTTTTTACAAAAACCTCAAGCCGTATGGAACGTCTGAAGACGCTGAAGTGTCCAATTTGAGTAACATATGCCGAGGGCCATCACTAAGAACTTAGAAGTAAATTAGAATCGCTTCTGACTTCTGTGATTAAATTCAACCGGATTCCTGGGGGTAAATTTCTCTTACAATTTAATGATTAGAAGCGAGAGGGTCGTGTCAAATACACGGAGGGAGCTGGCCAATCATTATATCCACACGTTATTAAAGCGACGACCTGGAATATCGACATTTCTAATTGACTGAGACAAATAAATCCCCATATATTCCACTGAGAAATAATTTGACGCTTTTGTATTAAAAACATTTAGTGAACAGTCAGTGTGCCGTTTTTTCACCCAAGTCTGGGGTACAGTTTAATCCCGTTATCTATTTTACTCTTGGATAGTCTATGGGATAAGTGCTTAGATTTAAAGTAGTTGGGGGGGGGGGGCACATTTGGCCGTTCTGATTGCATTTTTTTCTATCGGAACAGCAACTGGATAAAAGATGCTAGAAATTGTATCTCTCCGCTCAAAACACTGCTTAATTATGTTTGATGTTTACAGTGTTGTGTATTTTTTCTTGTGGAAGGCGGGGGGGAGCTCAAGGACTGTCCCGGGCAGCAGACAATTTAGCCATGCCACTGATTCAAATACAGTCTTATAAGACCATAACACGGTATATTAATAAAACTTCCATATTATTTGCCCTGGTTTTGCCTTGAGGCTTCAATAATAAGAAGACGGCCTTCAACTCTGACATAACCCCAAATTCTTAATTAAACTTGCAACCATTATATATGTTAACATACAAGTGCAAATTACATGAACAGGCACACATGACCTTTAAAATTACAAGCCAAAAGGAAACGCGTGTTATTGACAACACATGAACATGTTTTTATTTTACTATTAAACGTCGACAGTTTCCGTACATACTATAAAAAGTCCCTGAAGATTGATGATTGTTAGTACGCCTCCACTAAACTTGTGGTTCATGTTGTTACAGGTTTGGTGTTTGATCCATGAAATGGTGGAATATGATTTGCAAATTGTAACAGTTAGTGTACCGAACGTAATGGTCATGTCATGACATTGATAGCAGTCTGAGAAAGTGTAGGACTAGGTTTGTGCATCTAAAAACAAAAATCAAATCCCAAATCCTCGATCCTATCCTTTCTGAAACACATTTTCGCATGTTGAAGCAACGAGTAATAGCAACCAGCGATGCTGTCGAAATTCCAGTGACGTGTGTGCGCGTACAAACAATTTGCAGACGACAGTTCAGGGATTGTGGTTTTCTCTGTCCATGTTCTTGTCGACTTCGGGCCGCCATTTTGTACGACCTGATTGGTAAACAAAACATTGCCCAACGAGGGAATGCTTGCTGCCACATACTCAAAGATTGCTGTAGAAAAGTGTTATGTCGCTTTAATATAAAAACATCTTAGGGTATGATAGCTTGATCCGTTTCCGAATCTCAATATGGCCGCATCATCCAAAACGATTTGGGGCCTAACTAGGAAGTACTACAGAGCGTTGTTATTTAAACTATACTATAGGATACAAGGAATAAGTCTCATTTTAGAGCTGGACACTGTACTTGTAGCCAATCCACACCGAGGGGCATTACATTGATATTAATCTAGATTACTTTTGGTGGCTAAGGCCCAAAGGATATAAAGAAAATCTTCTTAAATCCACATGAATTGATCTGTACATTCTGTTAGCCAAAGGTACACCTAGATAAACGCAGCTAATACGTTTATCCTTTTAAGAGATCGTATCTTTTAAATGAAGCATGAAACGAACTAGAGATCACTCTCTGGTGTTGAAGTTAAATTCATTGAAACATATCTCCCTAAAGTAAGCTAGGTGTCACTTATATTTATAAAAATAGAAAGATAATTTATCATGTCTATCTATCACTGTATAAAGATACGCTTCATAGATTTCAGATCTGTTTTGGACGTAAGTAGTGACGCCGCGTAACATTCCGCTATTAAAATTGGTCTCATCAACAACAGTGATGTGAGACGCATTAATAAAAAACGAAATCCATTTAAGGGATGTTTTTATAGTCGTGTCTGTCTTCATCAGAACTAAAATAAGAGTCTAACTCAATTGACTTGTTTTATGAGTACAATTTATGACATATAAACACTTTCAGTCGAGAGTTGTTATTAAAATTTAATGTTAACGTTAGTGACGGTTAGCTGAAAGATCTTTCAGGGAAGCTTGGTGATCGTAATGAACTATAAGTTCATATGGCGTCTTATAAAGGCGAAACCCTGAAGCTTAATTAGCCTATCTGAATCATCAGCACGAGAATTTAGTACACAAATGTTCGTGAATTGATATTATCATAAACGAAAAGGGATCGAAGGGTGTAGGACGGTCATTTTGTATCCAGTGTATTTTAATGATTAACCGATGAACCTGGCCAGATAAAAAGTTCAACCGAAAAATAAAACGTAAAACGGAAGTGGTATCAGGCGTTAAACCAGTTTGATTTAACTCGTTCTTAAACAATGGTTTCTAGATTTAATAATGCTGCTGGAGGTCTTTGGACCAAAAATTATCTTCTACCAAGCATTTATTGGCTTCTGAAATAAGCTCCAAGCTGCTACTCCTGGTTGTCTATAAGTAATGACGGGTGTTGAACACGAGAGGATACACTTACCAGTTAACACTTTTCACTTCCAGGAGTCCCCTACACTGACTGTACTTTTATATTTATAATGAGGTAGAATATTAATTGATCAGAATAATATATTCCGCTGGTAATCAGACGAATACAGATTTTAAATTTGATGCTGTTGATAATGTTAACGTGCGCTGAAAGTCTTGTGGGAATTGAAGTCTTATAGAAACCTCTTTTCAGATAAAGATTCCCCTTACTTTTCTTAGTTTAGAAAGTTAACC